ACTAATCCCGATCCATTCTCCTTTCCTGATGTACGCACCCCAAGACAACGTTCTGCTGTAAAGGCCGGGTGCGCTGGGCACGAGGGGACATTACCAGTGCTATGGTGCATCTCTTCTCTAGTCCAAATCATTTCAGATCCCTTGTAGAATAGCTAGCGACTTCGAAAAGCTTTATGGCTTATGGAAACTTACTGTTTAATGTTGTTTTTTTCCGGGAAGACTGGCAGGTCAGTTCCTGCTTGCTGCTGAAACTGGGGAAATGCAAGCAGCTTATGTTTCTGCGTGACTCCTGCACAAAGGGAATCAGGACAACTCCTCAAAGCCATTGAGAGAGAAGATAATCTAAGGGCATTCATTAACTTTTTTAAACAAAATAAAAAAAAAATGGTAATGAGGTTCAGTATACTAAGTATTTATCATGTGTGAGAAGGAAAATAAATCTTGAATTTTACATTTATAGGCCTTCCCATGAGCTGGACTTAGTCATGTAGATTGTGTAAGTAGGGTTACCTCCATGCCAGCCGCTCAGCCAGCTACAGCTGTAACCAGAAAGGTATCTGCACTGCTCTGTCCACCTCCGCTTTGCATTGTCACGTGTTAACTAGTTACTTGTTTCATGAAAAATAAACTGTGAATATTTTTGGTGCAGGCTTTTTTAAATCTGTAAAATGGAGAAGTTCTCAACGAATTCTCATAAGTGCAGGTTTGAAAAAAATCACTTCTATAAATCATGTGCTCACGTAGTAAGGTGAGGTTCACGGCAGCAGCAGCCTTTCACACAGCAGGCTCTCACCCAAAAGCTTGTTTTGAACAGTGAATGTGGATTGAACTGTTGCATGGCATTTCAAACCCACAGCCTTATTCCTTGCATCTGACCATACCCCACCTCTCTTCTTGTCTCCCTTCATGCCTTTTCCACGAGGATCCAGGTTCCTGGCTTGCTACCTTCCAGCTACATGCTGGAAAGTTGACTTCAGGTAGCTGGGAGGCTGCTCAGTAAAGTTGGCGTTTGGAAATGTCATTGAAGGAGGAAGCCAGCAAGCTGCTCTTCCCTCCTCGCCCTCGTTGGGCCCTGGCCAATGCTCTGTCAGATCAGGAGGGCTTTTCAGATGTATGTGGGGCTGGCAGAGGGACTACTGGTGCTCTTAGGAATGTCTGTCTGTGCTGGATCACCTCAGCATGATGGGCAAGGCCTGACCAGGTGTGGAGATAGGTCCTGGCAGCCCTTCCCTGCCCAGCCTGCTTTCGTCGGCTGTGAGCGTAGGCTGGGAGAGAGCTCCGGGCAGCACAACCCTCACAAAAGAAATGTGGGCTTCTTCAGCACTTGAGGTGACTGGCTGTTGGTGGCAGCTGGTATCACTGCCTTGGAGGAGGACAGGGAGATATCTTGTACCGAAGTAGTTGGGTTCATTTTCTGCAGTTCATTGCTGCCTTCAGAGTTCAGCCAGTTTGAATCACTGGGGTTTTTTTAACGTAGAGGAAAGCGGCAGGTAACGCGTACCCCTGGCAGGCCGCTGCTGCGGGAGAGAGACTGCTGCAGCTCTGCTCTGGCCTCCCCGAGCCCTTGTGCTGGGCTGGAGCTTGCCAAGGAGCTTGGCCAGCTTTGCTGCGGCTTCACGGCCAAGGTCACAGTGCTTCTTTGCTGCGTTGGAGGGATCCAGTCACCTGGCCACTAACAGTCTTGGGTCAGGCATAATTGCACCCAAGGTGGGGGAGAGGTGACTCTTCTGTTGATCCACTATTGTGGAGAGTTGTAGAAGCAGAATTAAGGTTAATTGTTATTTCTGCTCTGAGCTGCGCCCCTTTCCTTGCCATTTCAGGGAGGCTCACGGGAACTTCCCAGGCTCATGGGTCCATTCCCACTTGTAGGAATGGCTCCCCCTTCCCAGTTCTGAAGGGGCTGAAAGACTTGCTCCTGTAACAAATGCTTCACCGACCAACATGCTTGCTGTCAGGATGGCCTGGCTGCCCCTGCTGGGGGCAGTGGGCTGGGGTCACCGGCTGCAGCCTCTGTCCCAACTGTGGGACCCACTTCAGTAGTGGGTTTCCATGGCGGGCAGGAGAGTCCCAGTTGACCTTTGGCGATGGAGGAGCTGTGGTGAGGGGTAACGGTGTGGTCAGGGACTCAGGTGGGCACGATCTGCCTGCCCAAGCCAGGGAGGAGGGTTGCAGAGGAGGAGCCACCGCAGGGCCTGTGGGACACGTGGGCAGGAGGGGAGCGGGCACTGGCCGCCATCCTGCGTGACTCGTCCCGTCTGCACCAGCTCGCTGGGCTGGCGCCCGCTGTCAGCCAGGGCTCTGGTGAATCTAGCAGAAAAGCGACCACTGTAAGGGATAATCCCCTACTGCGCATCTTCAGATGCTAACTAGCTCATGGCAGCTTGCTTTATTGCTGTTCTCGAGTTAAAACTTTTCCTATTTAACAAAAAAACCCCACAAGAACCAGATTCACTTCAATGCACAAAGTATCCAGGTGGTACTGTGGGAGCATGCGTTATAATTCAGGGTTAAACCCCCCACAGGCACAGGCTTTGCTTTGAAGGTGTGGCTGTAGTTAAAATTCAGGAGATGAGAGAGATGGTTGAATCTAAAGGATAGCAACGTACTAAGGTGAGACGATGCAGATTGAGAGTGCTAGAAGAGCTTCAGCTCAGTTTCACAGAAAAAAAAGGAAGAAAAAGCAGCCCTAACCCTGATGCATCTCGGCAGCGGTTTAACCTGAACACGCCGTGGATGTGCGCTGCTCCTACCTGAACGCTGCAGCCAGCGCTGCAGCAGGGCAGGGGGAGTTTGTTTGAGAAACCTCAGACCTTCAACACCTTCTGTTTATTTTTAATTTCAGCCTTAACTTCTGATTTTGCTTGATGTTTGGAATAACCGTAATTGTAACCTGCTTGTAATGTGCTTTGCCCTAAATTACTGATGAGGCTTTCAGCCTCTGCCAGCCAGTGAGTGTTAAAGCAAAGTGGCAAATCGTGCAGCTACTCTGAAAGTACAGGGGGGGCCGGTGAGGGCTCGTGCTGTGCTTGATTGCCCGGGCTTTGTCCGCACTAATTACTCCCCTGTGATAGCGATTACGCCGGTGGCAGCATTTGCAGCCGAGGCTGTACCTCTTGCAGCGGCACGGCCAGGCTGATGGGTGCTCGGAGCTCCCAGGGCCTGGGAGATGGGATGCTGGAGCTTGGGGACTGCTCCGCCGCTTGCCTGGCTTCAGTGGAAGTCTGGCCTGCGGGGTGGCAGTGCCCTGGCTCGGCAGGATGTGGGAAAAGGCAAGATTTCTGCTCCGGGTCCTCCAAAAGCAATCTAAGCCAAGTCCGGTGCAGGGAGACAGCGTGAGCTTGGGCTAGAGAAGTGGCGGTGATGGACAGTCCCTACAGCACTGAATCTACCTCCTAGGGAAATCTGAGAAATGGGTGTTGCTATGTCCTATTTCAAGGTAAAGTTTTAATCAGTTTGCCCTTGGCGAAGCACTTGGGCTATTGTGGTGCTATTGTAAACCGTTTGGCAGCTTAGCACAGTAGGGCTGAACTCACGGCTCCTAGCCCCGCGGGCTGGAGGTTTCTTCGCTGGCTGAATCCTGTCCCCTGATAGCTGGGGCTGGGCTTCAGCACGCGTGACAGAAACAGGACGAGGCGTGACTCGGTTCCTTCGATTTGTGATGGTTTTGAGACTCAAACCAGCGTGCCAGTGGGCCCCGTGGGCGTAGGGAGCGAGTGGAGCCACGTGAAGCAAGGCAGGCGTCCGCTAACTGCATGTTCTTTGTGTCCGTTTGGTACTGAGCTGGTTTCAGTTTTTGTTTATTTCTGATGTTTCCAAGTTGTTGACTTCAAGGAACTGGGTTTTGTGTATTTTTTTAGACACTGGGAACTTGTTAAAAGGAAAAGCAGCAGCACCGGGAGGCTCAAGGTGCAGTGTGACTGGAGCTGAGGGCGGCCCTGGCCAATGCGGGTGGGAGGAGGTCAGATGTGTCGGCAGCGGCTGGCGTGAGCAGGCAGGGAGCAGCTCTCCCAGCGAACGGGCAGGAGAAGCCTTTTGGTAGCAGCGCTCCCGGCCCTGCTTAACCGCGGTGCCGTGTTCACCGCCCCACCAGCCTGCTCACCTCTGAGACACCGAACGTGTCTGATACTGCACCTGGCTTTGAATGTCCCCTGTCACCCTCCGGTGCCATGTGCTCTTGGCTGGGGTCCTGGCTGCCGGCTAGGCTGGGGGTCCTGGGGAGGGCGGCCCTGGCTGCCCGCTCCCCCTTCCTCGCTGCCCGGGGAGGAGGGACATGGGGGGCCACCCATGGCAGTGGCATAAGTTGCGCTGAAACCATGAGCGGGAGGTTTGCTCAGAGGGGGGGGAAGCCTTGGTGTGAGCAGCCCCACGCTGCATTCCTCCCCCACCAAGGTCTGCTGCCCACGGGGTGGTGGCGGAGGGGAGTCCCCCGGAGGGTCCCATCCTGCAGGCTCGACCGGAGGGAAACGCGGCGGGAGTCAGGG